ATATTGCCTGTCGTAAACGTACCTCCAGTCAAATGGCCAAGACTGACGCGCGTTCGCATTATATCTCTCTGCTAATCTTGATGGGTCTAGACCTATCTTCAACCGATTCATTCATGAGTGAATTGAACTCTGGAACTGAAAATATAAAAAAGAGATCCAAAACTAATAGCTCTGCACACCCTACAAGCCCTATTTTCACGGTTGGCAAGCGGAAATCAGGGATGGTTGAACTAACCACAGAATTAATGCCACACCAACAGGTGCATCATGGATTGAGAATCTAGTTCAAGATACAAAAAAAAGTCTCCTTTCCCGCTTCGATACAGGTAATATTATCGCATTGAAACAGTTCGAGCAGTGTTCATAATATCGTGTGCTACCACTTTACCACCCACCCTGATCTCACATAATAAACAAACGCTTGTATTTAAATTTAAATTTATTGTCCTCTAAGACTATAACTATGAAGGACATACTATGAAGGACATGCGGGTCCTCTATGCCTACCGGCCAAGGATACCTATACCAGTAGTATATCCCCTCCTATGCCTCCCATGCCTACCACACAGCTCCCCTCAAACAGTACCACCTCTCACAAGTCCTCATTCGATCATACACCTAGTGGAGCCCTTTGCCCTTCATTATCTCCACTCTCCAGCCAGCGAAAAGATGGCTATTTGCGGGTGAATGGCAGCCGGGAAAAATCGCAAAAGCCACTGGGTGCAGAGCTCTCTTCATACCGACATTAGGACTAAATCTGAAGATATAGTGACCCTTCTGAAGCGTTCGTAGAGGCCGACCAGCTGGGCGATGCAGACTTATGTGTACCTCGGGAAACTCACACTCTGCATTTCTAGCCTCCTTCCAACTCCTTCCCGAAAGTCGGGCTGAAATGTCAGAAATGTCTTGACAGAGCGTGATTGCTGTATAATAGCTTAGCCCAACTTCTTTTGTGCCGTCCAGAGCCTCAGGGAGCGCCACTGACTCATCGAAAAAAGAAGTCCTCCTGGCAAATTAGCAGAAATCTCGGTCTTGGCGCCCACAAACGTTCCAATGTTGAAAGCCCCTCGGAAATATCGGTCCCAGCAAGCTCTTCAGGGACCTGTTCGCTCTCTCGCTCCACATATCAGCCGCCTATCCTTCCTCAAGATGTATAACCTTATTAGAGCAACAGTCCTTCATAAACCATGATCCGACCTTTGTACATTATGACTTAATTTCCTCCTTGCGGGTAAACATAGCGTTGTAAATTTGAAGTGGGTCAAGGCCAGTTATGAATGAGGCAAGCTCCTGTTTGCAATTGAAGTGACGCCTTTATCGGTCGTTGAGGCGAGGTGGCGTGTGGACAGGTTAAGGTAGAGGTCTCTCGAGAGAATGACAAGACTGATATTGATGTGAAGTCGCCTATTATAGATGTGTCTATGTATGCTTTCGACTTCGATTCGGATGCGATTCTTCTTGACTATCTCAGATATACAAAGAATACTTAGCGATTACACCGGCACCACTGGAAGGTGAGGAATTCGTCTTTGCCGGCTAAATAAAAAGTATTATACTCCAAAAGTTTGCTCCTTCAATGAGTGTTCGGTTAATGTACTACTTAAGTTTATGATAATATAACACATTGGGTTTATCACTTACCCAGGCCACAACTTATACAGCGTTCTTATTCTCTTCTGTGACTTTGAAAATCATTCATATATTGCACGTAATGAATATCCATTCAGTTCAATGTTTACCCGTGGAATTTGGCCACCTTTTCCACGGAACCTTCTACCCAAAAAAAAGGTAGCAATGGAAATTGTCTGAGCGGGAAAGGTCTTAAAAAACCTGCAGCCCCAGCCAGGCGAGGCCTAGACACCGGGACCACATGAAGTGCGCATATTCATCTACATCTCTCTTCTTTGTAACAGTCGAGGCCGACTTGGCCCAATTCGCCATCTCGATATCGGGTGCTGAGTACGCTCCGGAAACTCATCGGATGGCCTCTCCTCCATGATCATGGATGGGTGGCGAGAAGGGCTTCGACCCTAACATCTAATGTCATCATGGTTCGCAGTGGATACTACTAACAGATTTTGGGTTTACACTCCCTTCGCCTTCAGAACATCACTTGTCACCTCTGCCATGGTCTTCCAAACGACATGACTAGCTTTCTGGATTCTTTCACTTGTCTCTTTATTTTTATCATATAATGTGTATGCAGCTATAAAGCTATGACACATGACCAGTACTATGTATACACATAGGATGATTCTTTTGACGTTAAAAACACTCATGCTCTGTATTTTATTCGCAAATATCACTACGAGGCATGTTTGCTTTCACAAACAGTCGACTCTCCTCCGTAAGTACCTTCCAAAGGGAAATTCAAAACCCTTGATTATCCAAGCATGCCTTCTTCATCCTTGCATATCAGCGCCGCGAGAAAAGTTGTTGTGTTTTGACAGATTTGAACCAGCGATCTACTGTCTCAAGTGGGATATGTGTCCAAGCTATGCAGACACTACTTGGCAGACCGGCCAAGACGATGTACCACCGCACCATCTAGCCATGGCAGTGTTTATAGTGTCGCCTGCACTCTCTCAACTGAATTCTTTACGCACGCATACAGCTCAATTTGTTAAACTCCTTGCCAAAATTCCACGCCCGTCGAGAATGTATACTTCTCTGCATCATCTTGTGAACTTTTCCTGATCCCTCCCACGCCCATCCCAAAGAGCAGTCTCCCAGATTTGTGCGCCACGCTTTGCTTCCTCCGCCGGCTGTAAATATCGGCGTGGGCGTGTATTTAGCGACTAGTTGAGGCCAGAGAAAGTCGGCGAGAGGTGTGGTCATTGGAATGAGGATGTACTAGATCGTACTTGTAGGCTTGATGAGACTTAGGTAGGAGCCAAACTCGTAGGGAGCGAAAAAACGACGTGGAGGAGTAATTTGAATCATTGCCTCGTGGGCCAACTTCTTTGATATTGCGAAACTTGACTGAACTTGGCTCTGGGAGGATATCTCACTCCCAGGTTCGTAGAGGACACCGTGTACAGGTATTCTGTCTTACCCTTCTCACTTGTCACTTGTGCGCTACCTATCTGCAAATGTTGTTTTCAAGACGTAACCTAGACGGCTCGACACAGCTTTCTTGGGAGCTTGCGTGAGAGACACAGCCAAGCGGGGATGAAGCATGTGTTCTGAGTGCTAAGTCAGCAAGCTTGACTCGGCCGTTGTTCCCTGCGCGGGACGAGCTAGGACGTTAAAAGGGCCCCCTGCTAGAACGGCCCGGTGGGATGCGCCGCCAATAATTATTCCCCTCAGTGCGCCTGTCGCGTTGGCATACGCACTAGTGACCGTCGTATCACCCCTACTTCAAAAGGGTGATATCTGCGCAGCACTGAGGTCAGGAATGTACCGCCTTCAATATGAGACAACTTGTTGTACGTAATCAACTACTAAAAATGTGGTTCGTCAACTCTTCGATAGCTAGAGCACAACTTCTAGAGGAAGCGTGACCTAACCTGTTGGTGCGAGTGTGGTCCAATCTAAGGTTTATCTGTGTTCGCATAAAGTTGATCCTTTGCCACAAGACAGACAAATCTTCGAGAGGGTCATCTGACCAGTTGTGCTTTATCTTAGTCCAGAGTCACTTTTTTATCTAGATTTAGCATCACATTGGGCTTATGTGTCTGAATTCTATATATGCTTTTCTTTGCATAATCTAGACTCAACGGCAATGTGAGACAATCCTCTCATCCTTAGGTTCAAATAAATTAGGATTGCGTGTATTATCAGCATGACCAAGTTTCTTTAAAACGCTTCGGCATTAAGCGAAAAACTGGTAGGCACTTCCTCATATCAATGTTTACTTCATTCCTGGTCATTTAAATTTAGTCTCGGATCCCAGTTTGCTTTCCTTCTCGCAAGTAAAAGTGCAAGCTGGTATCACGGCCGCTCCTATTCCCCTTCACCCAAATTTGCAAATCGAAATGAGGAGATGAAACGTAACGCATAACCCCCAGACCAATATCCAGTTATCCGTGCCGTTTTTTATTCAAGATACCAATCATGCCAGCCGCTGAGCACTGATTAACCCAGCTGTCAATCATTAGGAGGCAATATCAAGAGTTAGAGTCTATAAGTGTGATCGTGGGCAACCTTACTCTAATTGAGTGGAAGCAAAATTATTTTCTCGTAATTGAAAGGCTGTCAGAAGTTTTCAAACAAGCTTCCATGTCTAGGCTCTGTCAGTAAACCAATATACGTTGTTGTGCTGTACGGGGAACAAACTCGTCTGGTCCTGTCTGCCCGTACCGTTCCGTCTCTTCAGGATACTTATCAAACTGACTGGCGTCACCAGACCCTGCCTTAACCGGTGGCACATATGGTGCATCTATGTCTTTCTTCGCTAATCTTTCCCAGGTCACTTCAGCAAACCACTGGTGGCTTTTAATTCCTTCAGCACCGCCATGTAGATTTCCTAACCGCTTGGTAAGATCTGCAGTTATAAGTCGTTGAATGAGATCTTGCGCATCTGGATGAATATATGGAGGATACTTGACGCGACCCTTAAGAATATTTTCATAGATTTTCATAGGTGAGCCATTATCCCAGAAGGGCGTGTAGCCACAAAGCATCTCAAATATTAATATGCCTAGCGACCACCTCATGTATATATTAGACGGAGCGTTTTTATTTCTTGAGTGGAACTCACCAATCAACTGATTTGTTATAGCCTTTACTCGAAACAACTTCAGGCGCTAAGTAATCTGGTGTACCACAGAGTGTCCATGTGATATCAGTTACCTTCTTAGCAAACCCAAAATCAGTAATCTTTAAATGTCCATGACGATCGAGAAGTAAGTTCTCCGGCTTCAAATCTCGATAAATAATGTCTTTTTTGTGCAGGTATTCGAGAGCTAATGTGACTTCAGCGGCATAAAATTTGGCCACTGGATTTGGGAATCGCTTGGAAAATTAGTAGATACTTCCATAGAATCTGAGGGTTACTATCATACCTGAGATTTTCGCAATAGAGAAAAGAGTTCGCCACCTTCAACGAAATCCATAACCATGTAAAGATTTTTTGAATCCTGGAAAGTTCCCCACAAAGTTATCAGGAAAGGATGCTTGACTTCTTGTAACATACTTCGCTCGTCATTTGTATGCTCTACTTGCTTCATTTTTACTACTTGCTGCTTTTTCAATACTTTCACGGCGTAAAACCTTTGATTATGCTTTGATTGAACCAGATGAACCCTACCGAAACTACCTGTCCCAAGAGTACGCAATATTTCAAAATCACTCAACGAGTACTTCCCCTTAGTCTGTCTGACTTGAGCCACTGCTGATTTACCCTGAACTGGGTATTCGGTTTTATTGTTCATGTGTTTTTCTGGCATGACTTTTGACTGACCTGCACCGTCGTGCTGCGGGGGGTTGATGAGGTTATGAATGGTTAGAAGATTGCTTTTGCTTGCTGTAGATCCTTGTGATAAGTTTCGGTATACTTGTTGGAGATGTGATACGTCTGTCATCGAAGGTAAATCCTCTACAGTAGTTCGAGTTCCCCGATGATCTTTTGCGATGTTAGAACCGAGTTTTTGGCCAGGCGACGTGATTTTCGATGGTGTTGTATCAATGGGTTCACCGAGACCTCGGGAGGTAGATGGGGTAATCGGACTAGCAGGTTGACTAAGTGTCGAAGCAGGAGAATCAAGGTCCCTGTGACCCAATGACACCTTTTTCCGCTTCTTCAAAAATCCAAATGTCGGCATATGAAACAGTGCAGTGACAGGACAGTCAAGGCGGGGAGTCGGCCAGAATAGTATTTACTTCCAAGTACCTGAAGGCGAACAGAGGTATGTGGTTAGCCCACGACTTGCCAAATTAACGCTAAATCTAGAGTGACATCTGTCCCTAAAGTAGGTTGTCTCGGTTTTCCGTTGCCGAACCAAAGGCAACTTGACGCCAGGTAAATGAGAAGTGCACGGCTTCACAAAATCGTCGTTAAAGCGTAAGTTTCAATTGGCCAATTTGCGAGACACCGGGGATAAGGCTGATTACCAAAGAAGAAACAATCCGTCAAAGCGTCAATATATAGAGGAATAAGGTTATGAATGGCGAGGAAGGCAGGAATCTGTACGTCAGTTTAATTACTACTGGTCGACATATTTCCCAGAGTTGAGGGGAGGATCTCACTAGAAAAGATGCTAGAGTGACTCCAAGGTTAGTAAGTAGCGGGGAGTCGGAGAGTTATTGGGTAGGTTGCAGTAAGAGGCAGTTGACCTTCCGGGGGACGAAGGACAAGATCGACCGCGTAGTCAGTTTTGTTGCTATGGCGCGTTGGTTATCAGGATGAACAAATCTGTTCAGAAAGCAGCCTTTGAATAAAGGGCAATACAGTTGGTTGAAAGGGATGAATGTTAACATAATATTTGGGACTTGAGGTTATATCACGTGCTGAAAAGAGTTCCCTTCCAATTACAATTGCTGATCGTCCTTGGCAGATGTGTTCTCATCAGGAGACATAAGATATTAGTAATCACGACGAAGCCTTGCAAACAACCATGATTTGCAATGCATTTGCGAGAGTTTAGGTTTTGGCTTGTTCAAATTATTGATCGTCTCGACTCCGAGACCACAGGCTATCTATTATTTGAAATATGGAGGTTACAGCTTTCAGTATATCCTTACTAATGTCTTGACTGCCAAACTTTTGTTGAATCTTGTCAGGGTGCCAACGAATGCGTTCTAACTTCAATGTCTTTCCCAGCTGAATCTGACTAGGCTGCCCAGAAGTGGGGGCTAACATGAAAAATCGCTCAATCTCCTTGGTATCAATATCCATTTGACTTCCGCTCGCCGTAGGCCAAGGTATAGACTCAAAGCTAATCATTCCGTGCCTGTCTTTATCAAGTGCCTCCCACCTCGTGATGTAGTGATTCCATTTCTCTGACCAGTTTTTCCTGATATTTCTCTCCTCGCCTCTCTTGATACTTTCTTCAACTTGTCTTCTAAACATTTTGGCTTCTTTTCTCAGACGCGCTGATTCCCTTGATAGTTTTTCCCTCTCTTTTCGGGCACTATCTCTTTTCGCTCTTTCCTCTATGAGGAACTGGTGGGTCTTCTCGTACATTTTAGATCTAACGTAAGCGGTATACTCTTCATCAGTCATGAGTTCAAGTTTGCCATCTGGGCCAGACTTAATATTTGGGTAGGTATGTATGGGCTGCCCGTAAACTCCTTCCCAAAATTGTGCACCTTCATCATCAGCCATAGCATCAAATAAACTTTCCCTGAAAGCGACCTCGGGGTCCATTTTCATCTCATATGAGGCGTCATGTGGATTTGAGGTGCCGGTTGCTTCAGGCTCAGTAGTGAGCGGCGAATGCGGTGGATAATTCCCCTGCTTAGACCTATTCTTTTTGGGTTTCCCATTTCGATGAGGCTCCCTTAGTTTACATCGCTCGTTTTCAATAGAAACTTTCGGAATTCTTGATTTTCCGTCCGTCTTACGTTTTGAATCATTTTTGAACCGAAATCTTTTCTTACGTTCAATGTCTGGATTAGCTTCCTCATTTTGTAGCTGATGGTGCCTGTTTTCAGATGTCATGTCTGTTAATTATTTTTGGATAGAAGTATGGCGAATTTGTGAAAACGGTTGTTAACAAGAGATCACTTAGGTTCTTGCATTAGGAAGACCCTTGTTAACGACCGACTTATCGGCAAGCCTACGCCAAGCTATTTTCGGCATATCAGTGCATCAATTCCACTCTCAGTCATAGGAAACCCAGATTTAACATGTCTGGAATGGGAATTTCGTACGGGCTCAAGCTTAATTCAAAGGCAGCTAAAAAACGAGCTCTAAATGAGAAACGAAGAGGAATATTTGATGATGATGATGATGACGTGAATGAAGAGCTAGATGATCCAAACAAGGGTACAGGTCTACAGGTGGAAGAGATCAGAGAAATAGGCTTCTCAGAAGAAGAAAGGCTACCTCCGACTACAGCCTTTAGTCAAAATTTATCTTTAGCTAAGGCGGCTAAGCCATCCATCAAAATTAATTCAAAGAAAACACTTAACAATAATTACGGAGATCTCTCTACATCCTTCACATCTAAAAAACATGCAGATGCGTCGAAAGATTTAGATGCCAATATTTTTGATTACGATTCTATATACGATAGTCTTAAACCAAAAAAGAAAATAGTAGAGGGGTTACATGAAAAGAAGCCTAAATATATGGCTAGCTTACTGGAAGCTGCTGCCGTCAGAAAACGTGATGCCGCCATTGCAGAAGAGAAAAAATTTGTAAGAGAAAGGGAGGCGGAAGGTGATGAATATGCAGACAAAGAAAAGTTTGTCACCTCTGCCTATAAGAAGCAGCAAGAAGAAAATAGACGACTTGAAGAAGAGGAGAGGGTTCGCCACGAACAAGAGGCTAAACAGATCAAGGAAAGTGGAATGACTAGCTTCTACAAAAATATGCTTGAGAAGGGCGAACAGAAACACGCCGAAATTGTCAAGGCTATTAATGAACAAATTAAAAGTGGACGTGTTGCAGATGAAGATACCCAGGCCCAAGAAACATGGGCGGAAAAAACCCGAGCCATGAATGGGAAGTTATCAGGAGAAATCATTGTTAACGATGAAGGAGAGGTTGTTGATAAAAGGCAATTATTAACTGGAGGATTAAACATAGTTTCCAAGCCTAAAGCGGCATCATCTCTCCGGACTCAACAAGAAATATCTGGTAAAAGAAAATTAGGCAATTCTGGAGGTGTTTCAGAAAAAGAGGCCATGCGCGAAAGACAATCCCGAATGATTGAAGAACAACTTGAAAATGCAAACAAGAGAGCTCTCGAGCAAGAAAATGATGAGAAAGATAGGATTGAACGTCTATCAAAGAGCAATAAGTCTGAACAAGAAATCTTGAGTGTTAAAGAACGCTTTCTGGCGAGGAAAAGAGAGGCCGAGAAAGCTAAAAATAAAGAGATTTAAAGAAAACGCAATTACGGCATTATTACTGCCCTGTCAATAAAAGATGGAGGTATTTGGCTAAGCTACAGGCTCTATCTACTTTTACGAAATAACTAAACCATCCATTTCATGAACTATTCCGCTTAATAGCCGAAAAAGGAATAAAAGATTATTTGGAATTAAACGAAATGTGTTAGAAGTTTGAAAATTTTATTTATTTATTTTTATTATCTACTAGGCGAAATCGAACGCTGTTGCCCCATCCTAGGGGGGAAATGGTGACTGCTCAGAAGTTAGAATAATTGGGCCTCTGAAGAAGGCCACGTTGTTGAGACACACGTGACTGCAAATTATGTACTTAGTTTCACTTCAGTAGTTTCGTAAATGAAACCACCCCACAACCTCAATCACCGAAGGGTCACTAATACCTCAATAAACTGTGACATAAATATAGGAGACACCGAACAGTTCGCATTGGGGAATATTTATGTTCAGACCCCTTCATCTACTTGGACATCGTTCCCTAACCTAATCAGATCCATATCCTCATACCTAAGTTGTCAATCTACCTAACCTATTCTACCAAATTATCGATAATAAAAGATTTATCGTCCTACCCTTTATTAATTCTTGTTGTGTCGCTGATAGCCAAGATTATGATACACTAGGCTAATTATTACTGGGAGTTTGAATTTGATTTCAATTAACCCGTTCAGGCACCCTATGGGTCCATGCAGGTGACTATCTGAGTTATTTACAAAGGAGGAAACCAACTTGGTGAAAACCCCCTGATCCTATCTTTTTATATTCCTATTGATTTATTGAGTTTACCTTCAGGAAGTGCAGTGTATACTGTTCAGCCAGTGTGGTTTCCGTCCTCTCCCCTTCCATATCTATTTATTTTATCCTCCATTGCTACCTCGACTTCCCCTGCAAGTCGAAACTGTTTCATCCACCCCTTGCTTAGTATCCACTGTATGATTCTAGCCACATCTTCTGGGCTGTTCAATATGGCTTCAAATGGCCTGTCTTTAGCTTTTCGGAGAAAGTCGCCTCTTCCATTTGCCCAGTGAGGACACGCTAAAACCATATGCTTGACGTTTTACGACAGATATCCACATTGACAGCTTGGCTTTTCTACTCTGGGTACTTTTCTTCTGCACAGGTAAGAATTGAGTCCGATATGCTCGCTTCTTAGCTGAGTGGTGACCCTGCTTTGGGCCCTGGTCAGGTTACGGTGGATTTTTAAGGGTGTATCTTTGAAATTCATTTTGGTGCTGCCTGTTTGTTCATCAGAAATATATTTGCCGCTTTCCATTGTACTGGGAGTTAACAAAGAACTTTCTTCACGGGTCCTAAGCCAGTATATGAATAACGGATAACTGTATAGAAAGTGATTCTATATTATAGTACGGGATGGATGAAACTAAAATATTACGGGAGACCATGTTGGAGAATTAAGTAGAAGGTCTAACTACCTCAGATATGAATATAATAAGCTTTTCTACATCTTAGATCCATGGAGCTACGTTCGAGTTGACGATTTCTCGATTTCTTATTAGGTAAAAAATTAGGTTATGATAAAGATAATCGGTATTCTACTCTATGTACAACTGCGACACATCTTTGAGAAAGTTGAAAGAGCCTGACTATTCAACTTTGTACCTTTACCTCATGCTAAAATCCAATTCAAATGTCACTTTAACACGAAATATCAAGTCTAATCGGTGGTTGAGAGGTAGCTAAAAGAATTATAAAACAATTCCTGAATATCAAAATATCGGCAGTTCACAAGAATTTATCGGGAGACTATTCTCAACGCCGTCAGTGGTGTCCCCTACGAACCTTCAGCTCTCACTGTAGAGTCTACAGAGCCGAGATTGAGTAAAAAATTCCTTACTTTTACGAGGATCCCAGATCGCTTTCGCCATCTGTATCGTCTTCATCTCTCAACACATACCCCTTTCACCATTATCATGAAGCTACGACGATCAGATCAGAGGGTAGGGTCAGAACCCTACTAATCACCAACCCTTGATCACGGAGGAGAGGCCATCCGATGAGTTTCCGGACCGTACTCAGCACCCGATACGGAGATAGCAGATTGGATCAAGTCGGCCTCGACTGTTACGAAGAAGAGAGATATAGATGAATATGCGCACTTCATATGGTCCCGGTGTCTAGGCCTCGCCTGGCTAGGGCTACAGCCTTTTTAAGACCTTTCCCGCGCACACAATTTCCATTGCTACCTTCTTTGGGTAGAAGGTTCCGTGGAAAAGGTGGCCAAATTCCACATGTAGACACTGAGCTGAATGGCTATTCATCACGGGCAATATACCAATGATCTTACATATAACAAAAGAGGATAGGAGCACTGTACAAGGTGTGGCCTGGGCCAGAGAGGAGCTCAATGTGCCAGATCGTCTATGACTCAAATAGTACAATAAAAACATCACACATGAACTTATCATTCATCATTCCAAAGCCTTCAGCAAATAAATCGTCCGAAAGCTATTACCTTAACAACATTCTAATTTTGTGGAGGACAAGACTGAACACCTGTACGCGGTGTCCTCTACGAACCTGGGAGTGAAATATTCTCCCAGAGCCAAGTTCAGTCAAACTTCGCAATACCGAACAAGTTGGCCCACGAGGCAATGATTCAAGATACTCCACCATATCAATCTTTCACTCCAAAAAAGATCGTTTCCTACCTAAGCCTCATCAAGTCTACAAGTACGATCAAGTACATCCTCATTCCAATGACCACACCTCTCGCCGACTTTCTCTGGCCTCAACTGGTCGCCAGATACACGCCCACGCCGATATTTACACCCGACGGAGGAAGCAAAGCGTGGCGCACAGATCTGGAAGACAATTCCTTGGAATGGATGTGAGAGGGATCAGGACAAGTTGATAAGATGATGCAGAGGATTGGATGCAGAGGATTGGATACAGTCTCGACGGGCATGGAATGTTGAGTTTTGGAAAGGAGTCTTTACAAATTGAGATTTGTGCGCGCCAAGACTTCGGTTGCGAGAGTGCGGGCGACACTATAAAAACCGCCATGGTCGGATGGTGCGGTGGTACATCCTCTTGGCCGGTCTGCCAAGGAAAGTCTGGATAGCTTGGACACATATCCCACTTGAGACAGTAAATCGCTGGTTCGAATCCAGCAAAACACAACCACTTTTCTCGCGGCGCTGTTATGCATGGATGACGAAGGCATGCTTGGATAACCAAAGGTTTTAAAATTCCCTTTGGTGGGTACTTACGGAGGAGGGTCGACTGTTTGTGTAAGCAAGCATACCTCATAGTGGTATTTGCAAATGAAATCCAGAGTATGAGTGTCTCTAATGTCAAAAGAGTCATCCAACATGTATACATAGCGCCGGTCATGTGTCATAGCTAGATAGCTGAAAACACATTAAATGATTCAAAAAAAAAAGGTGTGGGCTGGGCCACTGAGGATTCCATTATGCTAGATGGTCAAAGATGCGTCTTTATCATTCAACGTGAAACTTTTCTTTTCATTGGAATCTTACCTTAAGAATACTGTGGCCATCCAAAACATTATCCTGGACCTCTGCCCTAATAACTCACATGCATATGCTGCAGATCTGCCTCGCTGAACTCATATGCTTTCTTTGGTATGCTCTTACAGGTATTCCTAAGTTTTTGAGCAATATACAGTGGCCGTCTTAGCCCATATTATCATGGGAATAAGAATGGAGGGTTGACCGATGATGTCAAATCTAGTGGATAAAATCGCCTACAAAATGAGAATGGTCCCTGGCTGAGTTATAACTTGTTACATTCATTATAATTACGTGTCGAAACAGCGATTGAAAGTATTAATTTCCTATGTCGTCTTCCTTGTCAAGACCTTGCTGGGGAACATACGTGGTGGATAAGTCTATAGTACTCCCAAGTACCACAGATGGCACAATGAATTTGCATCAGGCCACTTTACAGCAATGACAGCCAGTCAAGACTTTTGTGACCTTTAAGCACAAACTTCGTGAAAGAGTTCTATGGGCGCTAGAATGGTAGAGAAGAGATTTCCCGAGGTGCTCACAAGTCTGTAGCGCCTAGGGGACTGGCCTCTTCGAACGCCTCAGAAAGGTCTCCTTGTCTTCGGATTTAGTCCTGATATCGGTACTAGGAGAACCCCATACGCAGTGTTGTTTGCGGTTTTTGTTGGCTGGAGAGGGGAAATAATGAAGGGCAAATGGAATCTCTTAGCTTATGATATAATGAAGTCTTGTGAGAGGTGGTGCTATGTAGGATACAAAGGAGGGGAAATACTACTAGCACATAGATCCTTGGCCTGTAGGCGGGTAGGACATATGTAACTTACAAGATCGTGGTCTGAGAAAAGATAATTATAAATCAAAAAAACAATAGAAGTTCAATATTCTCCTGATGTATGGAATCATCATGGTGAGCCAGTAATGGGGATTCTACCATCAGATGAAGGAAACCCCCAATTAGAATGAAAAAGAATGGTTGTATTTAAATATTTTGTCCTACATGGTTGGAAGGTCAAATAGGACATAAATGGATTATTATTTCGAATTTGATTTCATTTAGCCCGATTTGGCGGCCTATGGGCCCATGCAGTTGTCTACAGACTCTAATATTTACATAGGAGGAAACCTTGCAGTAAAACCCGCCTTAGCTGTCTGATTGGACTCTAAGCCATTATAGTCTTGCCTCTAGGAAGTGCACTCACACTGTTATTGCCGGTGTGGATTCCGTCCTTTTCCTGTTTTTCTAATTTCCTCTCTTCGCCTGATTAACGCCACGATTTCCCCGGTCATCCGAAACTGCTCTAGCCATCCTTCCTTTTGAACATACTGTGCAATTCTAGTCATATTTTTGACGTTATACCATAGCTCCGAGTGATCGGTTTTATTAAGGAAATAATGACCCCTCAGTCATTGAGATTGTAGAGCACATTGATCCAAGTAACTACCGAAGTGAAAGTAAGTACAGAATTTGTAGTCACGTGTGTATCAACAAGTGGCCTACTTGTAGGCCCAATTATTCCTTATTCTCACAAGTTTGTCGATTTTCGTAGTAGCTCACCTCTTCCCTTTGCCCATATTGGACAAGACATCACCATGTGCTTTATGTTTTGGGACGGATATCAACATTGGCAGCATGGTTTTCCTACTCCTGGCACGTTCCTTCTGTATAAGTAAGCATTGAACCCAACGTGCTCGCTTCTTACTTGTGTGGCAATGCTGCTCTGGGCCCTGCTAAGGTTTTGGTGGATTTGGATAGATGACTCTCTATAGTTCATCATAAGTCACCTGTTTTCTTGTCGTTATATAAGTTTGCAGCTTTTCACAATGGATTATTATTATTATTTGTCGATTGGCCTTATTTTACGTGTACGCAAGGTTAGTTCAATGCAAAACGAAAGGTACGAAAGTTGAGGTATGGATTCTTGTTGTTATTCTTTCTATCTATGAGCACTGCGAACGTCCAGTTCGCAGTATTGGCTGAGTCATCAAGAGAATGATTCAGCAACAGAGAGACGCACCGCACTTAGCGTCTAGTAAAAGACATACATTCCAACATTATTATTTTTATTATTATTATGGAATCATCACTTGTAGGCCCAATACTCACGCCTCTAGAAATCATCGAATCACGCTACAACGCCCGTAATATTTTTTGGATATTTTATAAGAGAAAACACTGATTTTTCTACAAAAGAGTAACATTTTGTGAATTGAATTGAACTTAAATAGTCTTCATAGTAAATTCATCTGCCTGTTATAGATCTTCAGGGGTTAGCTCAAGGAAAAAAGCCTCGAATATCTTTGCGCCGATCAATTACTCCACTCATTTTAAATGTTAATGACACTTGATTCGTGGAAGTATCACGCTTTATATTGACAAGCTGTTGCTTTACTTACAAAATATTAGTCGCTTGTATCATGCTTCCGAGCGGCGTTGAACGATACACAATTCAACCCAGAGCTCGATATTTAATCTCGGTATGTTTCGATTAAAAAACTTGTACCTAGCTTTGTGGCCCAGATCAGCTTTTGATGCCTTTTATCGGAGAAGTATCGGGACACTTTGATACATCGGGTTTCTTTTGTTCTTTTTTTGTTAATGGTGCAGATGATTCGATGGCTTTCACTTGGACTGGTAGGTATGAGTTACATTTTACCTCTCGAAACCATGGAGATATGACCATTGGAACGCATTGACGAACAAACTCTATGAGGCTTTTGGAGTGTGGTGCACCTTCTAAAATGCCAACTGTAGATACACTGGGAAGTCCAAGTGATAAACACAGTTGAGTACTACACGAAGTAGGAAGCTGTATAAGCCTAGTTCCAGGTATTTGAGGAGTCGCGAGTGACGCAGCGATCACAAGCTCTGGTAAATGCTCATGAATTATTTGTGGTAGAGAGTCTGAAACGACAAAAATGGCAGAGAAATGCTGTTCAATAGAGTGTACTGCTTTATAGGGATTTTTGGCCTCATTTCCTAGTTGAGGCTTATGTGGTTTGGAAGCTCTAGTCCTATATATATTGGAGAGAGATTCGAGCCTTCGGACAACGTTATTGAGGCCAACAATCACTGATGATGTTATCTCAGGTGCAGGAGGATGATAATTGTCTGACCCAGCTGACTTAGCCATGAGAACCGAATTTTTTGCCCGCCTTTTACTTCTTTTGCCTTTTGAAGGAGAAGCATGGCTAGAGCGGTACTGCCCTATTGGATGTAGAAATCTAAAAGCGTTAGCTAAGTCTTTTTTTAATTCGATTTTGAAATCCTATTTTATATCTAGGGAAATGTACGAGGTTTTACCTATTTAAAAGTTCGATGATGTTGTTTTTATGCTCAGTGGATACCTCTGGCCTGCAAACATGAAGTAAAAGATTAGATAAAGTGTTCTAACCATAATGATAGGAAACTAAATCATAAACGCACCACTGAATTTTGGCATATGGTGAATTTAATTGCCACACGATTTTTGGTTTACGATCCATTGCGGGTGTGAACTATGTATCATACTCTGGATCTTGCTCTTAGACTATGGGTTTATGCCTTCACCGCCTTGTGTATTGCACCGGTGTCAAAGAGGGCCTCCTAGGAATAGGATTTCGTACCTCACCAATACATGTGGGAAGATTAACTTATTATGATTGTATGATAAATTTATTCTCATCTAAGAAAGGAGTGCTACACTACGTTGAAATCGAGAAGTTGTAACCACAATATTTCAGGCTCATGCACTAGAACCGTGCTGTGCCCCATTCTAGCTTTGTCTAGGTGTTACATCTTCGGCCCTCTATGCTGGAAAGCCTTAATTGTTAGGATGAAATTCACATGAGATCATTGCCACGAAATAAGTTAAGGAGTGGCAGCGTAGAGGATAGCAATGACCCATACTATCATTAACATCGCCACGCTGTAATCCCTATCAGTTGCCAGTCCTTTGAAGTTGCCGTTTGGTAATGCCAAGGGAAACCCCAAATGAAAGTTACAACTACAACAGCCGGATCAGGTGATTAATGGACTTTAGTTTCATAGCTTTCGCCCCGCTATTCATTCCTGCCAATTGCACCCAAGCAAGTAAGTGAGCTCGTCAGATTCGTGAACGGGGTTTCCTATCTCGTTGGATTGCAAACAACTCAACCAGCGCCTTGTCAGAATTCCTTGTCAACTATTCTCTTAATCCGGAATCTGGTCGAAGAAGTTACAACCTATGATAATAATTTAATCTTTAGATTTATCCGCATCAATCCCGACCACATGGACCGATCGTTCCTATTTCTGAAAAGCTCGTGAGCTTAATTACCCCATTAGATCACCAAAATTCGGTGCTTTATGTACCTGCCAAATGGCAGAGTCCCCGAGAGAACGAGCGACTTTCTCAGTGCTTTGCTCAGGTCGTCCCAATCCCTTTCACGGCACCTCAGAAGAGTCTCCTTCCCGAAAGCGACAGAGAGTAACTTTCCATAACTTACGAAGCAATCTGACACATCAGTCTACAAGCTCTGATAATTCTACGGGCTCTGTAGTAAAGTTCGAGGAGGACGCGTGGTCTGAATCAAATTCAATCCCCTCGACACCTCTAGAGGAAGCAACAGTTCACGACACCGACCACAGAAAAATGGACCACCCAGTAAAATCTCTACCGCCCTCCCCCTCAATTATGCCCACCAAAGGGTTTCATGAAATATCTGATAATGATAACGGCGTGGACTTCGACGCAGAGTCTGAAGCAGGAATATCTTTTATGGTTCCAGCAATGGAAACAACGTCAAATACACACTCGCTCGTTTCCAGTCCACACGTTGAGCTATTACCAGTTGAAGATAACGGCTATCTCAACACCGATCCTCCAATAGCTCTTATAGAAGAGCCAGATGATGACGACGATGAGATAATCTTCCAGGATATATTTGTTAAATTTCCTTATCAAGCCGAAGATGAAACCCTCCTCTACACACTAAACAGGCTTGTAAGATTTTTTCAGTTCGGTATGTTAGGTTTCTGTCCTATCAGCAAGAACGTTAACTCACATAAATTCAGATGAGATAGTAACCGAAGAAGCCTTCCTTAAACTTCGTGATTGGATCGACTCGTACCTACTTGCGGTCACTAGCAGTGATCAATTTTATGACTTTTATGTCAATAACCGCGAGTTCTGGACCTCTTTACCAGAAGTGATATGGGCACTAAGCCATCGTCAGAAATACTTTGGGGAGTTTCTCCGTAAGAGCATAGATGGTCGTCAAACGTTGACTGAAATGTTTTGTCAATTCGGACGACTTACTGCACGATTTTTAACTATGGACGTTAGGAGCCTCGACTCTTTGACTCGAGGCGCTGATATAGAGCCTGATTTGGGGTCACAGTCATACTTGCATGCGCTTAGTCATCTTCTCAGGAAAGATGAAAGTCCCCATATTGGAAAGAATCTTGAAGTTCATTATCAGTGGAATTTTGACGAAGATATCGCTCAAATTTGTGATAATTTTCAAATAGAGGGTGGAAGTATCCCGGCCTTAACAAAACTTGTTGATAATCAGCTTCGCTTGCTACCATGTACATCAAAAGTCGTAGAATATCTCACCTCACCATGTCGAATAGCTGAAGCTATAATCCGAAATGCCACCAGTATTCTCGATGAGAGAGACTATACACCACAACAGCTCATTGCAGTCTCAGAGAAATGTATAAGCCAAGGCTATGAGTTTTTTCTCTCCGTTTCCGCAAGTCTAGAGGTGATCATCGAAAAAAATATAACAAGCCTCTCGCCAGATGCCGCTATTGCCTACATCAGTTGTCTCTCATATATATTCAGATCTTCTCTAAATATTAACAACAGTAGATCACAAAATATATTTAAGAAGCGGGCAAACAAACTTGTAAAAATCCGTCCTCAGGATTACTCAACTGTTATTTCCTTGGAATGGAAATTTGGTATTCTCAAAAAGCTTATAACATCAGCACAAATGCAGCTACGTGTGGTCGGGGTGACAACAATGTGCTCCGAATTATTGCAGCTACACCATTCCAGTAAGAACGTAGACATGGAGACCTATTCTACCCTAATTTACTTTGCCGAATACATCCTTGAGCACAAGCTTGTTGATTACATTGTCGGTGTCGGATCCCATCCTGAGATTATTCATGAGAGTGGTAATATACTGGGGTTTTTGATTGTAACAAAAACATATAAACCTCAACTTACTGACACGATTTGGCAAACAGTTATTAGCTGTCAAGACCAGAGAGTAGTCGATGCTATTTTAAGAATGATGACTCATTGTCACAACCTATATGACGAGGAAAATCTTCTTCATCTTAGCAGAAAAATCTCCTGTGTCCCTCTCGAAGATTTTACACCAGCCATGCGTGAATTATCTCAAGCTCTTTTTAAGCAATTAGTAACAAAAGGAGTCCCTGATAGTATTGTCACCACTCTACCGCATCGATTATGCGAACGACTCTTACGCGAATCTTCTAATGTTTCAGCTGAAACTATTGTTAGCTTCTCGGAAATCCAAGTTTGGGCTGAAAGTCGATTTCGGGAGCTACTTGTGAACGGACTTTCACGAAAAGATAGGCAGGAAATATACCAAGAATGTATATCAGATATCTCTTTGAAGTCATCCACTACACTTGGAAGTCTTAGCATATTAAATATTCTTCTGTCACGAGATAAGGGCCATGATACAATAAATCTGACGACGGAATTTGGCTTGACCAAGTTGCTGGTTGATGAATTAGAATCAGTTGCTTTCGGTGAAAATTCTTTCACACTACAGCTCTTAAGAGGTACACCCGCAGGACTAGCCAGCCGTAATTTACTCTTACGCATCATCAAGGTGGCACCCGACACTTTAACACCCGAACTTGGAGAAAGGCTTTGGAAAGTCCTTGTAGGCAGTCACTCTCGATCCCTTGCTGAAAGAAATATCTGGTGGCAAACTTTAAATACTGCTGTAGAGCAGTCGCGGGGCGACAACAAATTTCTAACTAGGTGTTTTGAAGAATACCTTCCAAATCTTTCGTCATTATATTTCACATCTGGCGCGCTGGAATTCGCACGGGAAGCTGTCTTAAATTGGTTAGATAAATTCCAGCTTGATTCCTCCGAAGAAATAGCTAATTTTGAATCACCTGCCCTCGAGCAAATCTGGCGTATGATCCTAACAGCCTCCTCAAATACAATCGATGGAGCAGCTATCAGCATTCTTGTTGAAACTTATCTTAAAAGTGATTTCATACTATCTGTCTCACAAATGAAGGCACAGACTATTCATTTGGCGTTGGTAAATAGATGTCTACGACAGCTTAAAAATGCAGCTTCCAAACTAAAGAACTCCAGTTTGCACTCGTGTGAAATTTCCGAGAACACGACTATTGTATCAGAAAATCAATTTCAGGAACAGGAGAGGATTTTCGTTAGATCGCTTGCTGTATTACGAGAATTCTTACGAGGATATCACACAAGCAAACCATATTCTACTACGCCAAAGGCCATGTCACTACTTCCCGCTACCGATATGGATAAAACAGAGGGTAATCAAATAATAATAAAGTATCAGTCATTCGATGAAGATAAGCATTCTGAAATCAAAAACTTGGTTTTTGGTCACCTTAACACAGCAGCGTCGCTACTTACAACTCTGCAAAAAACAACTGGATTCAAGAATTACAAAATATATTGTAATGGTCGAGAATTCGATCCTGACGAGCAAGAGATTTGCAAGTCTATTTCAGAGTTAAATCTGAAGGGACTCCTACTGGTAAAGCGCTGCTATGACCCAGAAGACTCCCCATCAGGAACATCTACGAGCAATAAAATGATATTGGAGTCTGAGATAATCAAACAATTTGAAGACTTGTGGAGCTACCTCGGGATGCATGACAAAGTTGCTAAAGAAATTTATTATTTCTTAAAGACTCTACCAGTTTACGATCGATTGTTAAATAATTTTAGAACAAATACCCCATACAGTGAAATTTTCCCTTCGGGCCAACCCTTTAAATCTTTGTATGCAATCCATGGCCTCCATGAATACAACAGCTCTAGACAGCCAAAGAAAGGAGCGGCTGCCGAGGTTGCATCATCCAGGGCCGTTTCCTTGATAATAGCAGCAATTTCAGATCCAGCTGTTCTTGACGGATGTGAGAACACTGAAGTAAGGGACTCCTTAGCCTTACAACTAATCGATTGCCTTCTACTATTACTTAAGGAACCATTACCAGCATCTCCAAATTCATTCCTAAATGAAAACTTGTTAAAGCATCTTTTGCGGCTGCTTGAACTCGCAAAAGGATCGCAAGCCCCCAAATCCCACCATCTTATATCAATGTCATTTGAAGCAATAATTGAGTCTTCGATATATAGCGTCGAACTTTGGGATAAATCTTTGCAGCACTTCAAAGAAACAACACTACTCAGAGAATTGCTTTTAGATAGTCCAAGAACCGTCATAAGGAAAAGTATAGCTAAAACAATCACAGAAAAATGTACAAACTATACGAGCAGCCTCGCTCAAGTCTCCTCTAGTACACTTGTTATGGGATTCTGGTCGATAATCTCCTCACTTATATCTGACGCGATGATTCAAACCCAGCAATGCGAGCAAGTTCTAGCCGTCTCATACACATTGTTCAAAAAACTAACAAGTTCTTCGTCATCATCTCTACAAATTGAAGATCTAATTCTGGTTTGGGGTGGACTATTGATTTCCCATACCCCCAACGAAAATGTTGGCGAGCCAGAAAGTGTCGACGTGGCCGCACAAGGTTTGGGGAATCTTCTTCATTACGCGGCTTTAGTTGCCAAATCATCTAAGGTTTCTTTAACATGTAGTCATATAGGCACAAAGCTATTCCGAAAGTACCTTTTTCCGGTGCTTTCTGACCCCAGAGAAGGCCTTGTGATACCAAAGGTTCCACTTCTTAACCCGAAGACCCGAAGTACAATGGCGGAAGCAATTTTTATCCTTATCAAAGATGATCACGTTCAATATCCGGAGGTATTACTAATTATGGAATCACTTTCTCCTTACGCACCAAACCAGGAAGGGTCTCCTTACTCTCATGATCTTGGATTTCTCTTCGAACGGAATAACTCTCTGAGATCAAAAACCGGCTACGTTGGACTGAGAAACCTTTCTAATACATGTTATCTCAATTCTCTATTGACCCAATTGTACATGAATATTCCATTTAGATCATTTATGTTTTCAACTCTCGTATCCGATGCTAGCGGCTCTCAAAGACTCCTCTCCGAAACCCAAAGTCTATTCAGCTACATGCAAAATAGTTTCAGTAGCTTTGTTGACCCAACCGACCTTGCCAGTTCCATTCAAACCTACGAAGAAACTCAGATTGATGTAACGGTGCAAATGGATGTGGACGAATTTTATAATCTCCTCTTTGATAGATGGGAGAGTCAAATATATGCACCCCAAGCAAAACAGACACTAAGATCATTCTATGGTGGACAGCTAGTACAGCAAGTTAAATCCAAGGAATGTCCCCATGTTTCAGAACTTCTGGAACCTTTTTCAGCAATACAATGTGACATAAAAGGGAAATCTTGCCTGCAGGAAAGCCTACAAGCATATGTAGACGGCGAGGTAATGGAAGGAGGTATTTGATTTCCCCTAAGAATCTTGTGAGTAATCGGTTAATATTTATAGACAACAAATATAAATGTACGACGTGTGATAGGCATGTTGATGCTGTGAAACGGTAAATTCAAACCTTACTATATCATTATTATTTTCCTAAAAATGATTGTAGGGCCTGCTTGAAAGAAATTCCGGATAATCTAATCTTTCATTTAAAAAGATTTGACTTCAATCTGCGAACTCTACAGCGCAGTAAAATTAATGATCACTTTTCATTTCCAGACAAGATTGATATGAGATCCTACAAGGTTGAGTATCTTATGGAAGATCCAGAGGAAATTCCTGAGGATATGTTCGAGCTCGTCGGGATCTTGGTACATTCAGGCACTGCTGAGTCGGGCCATTATTACTCATACATTCGTGAAAGACTCTCAAATGGTCAACAAGATAAGTGGATCGAATTTAATGATGAATGCGTCAGTCACTGGGATTCAGCGTGCATGGAAGGAAGCTGTTTTGGAGGACCAGACTTTCGTGGTCAGCACGATAGTGGCGATGTCTTTTATGACAAGACTTGGAGCGCTTACATGCTATTTTATCAACGGTGCTCCAACACAACATCGCCAAGTAACTCTTGTGAACTTCCAACTCCAATTCGTCTTCCGGTTCCGAAACAACTCTCAAACCGTATAGCGATGGAGAATGAGTTGTTGCTGCGGAAGTACTGCTTGTATGACCCTTCTTACTCATCATTTACGCTAAAGATGCTTCAAAATACGAAGCAGATAACCGGAGGTTGCGGCGTCACAGACTCTCATCGCCTTGAGAAACTAGCTCTTAGAGTTTCGTTGAATCATTTGGATCAGGTAGTCTCCCGTAATAAGGATCTGCCTGACTTTCCAACATATATCGTCCAGCTGGGGCAACAATTCCGCGCCTGCGCAGAATGTAGCCGTGAATTTTTGGAATGGATTAGTGAGTGCTATGAAGCACTTCGCCAATTGTTGATGAAGAATCCAGAGCAGGTTGTACGGAACGAAGTTGCGTCCCTAATCTTTTTAGCACTGAATAAGGTCAAGAATGATGCACCTAATGCTTACGGCCTTCTGGATATAAATGATAGTGATGACGAACCGGAATCTACCCAACCAGAAATTCTTGAACACACTATAGCAGCCCTCAGTAGCCTGTATGATATCTTCCATACAAGTTTGCGTGCGTGGCCCGAATACTTTGGACTGCTGAGTAGCATTGCGAGAATGGGCACACCTGAAGCTGCTTGTTTGGTAATCAAAGGCTTCCTCAACAAAACCTTAGATATTATTACTGCCGACCCTAATCTTCCACTTTCAACACAGTACATTAAGTTGTTGAATACGATATCCAAGCGAAGTAATGCTAGGCCAATAGCCTACGAAGCAGTCATCAGTCTTCTATGGCACTTAATGCGGATATGCGATGCATCGCTAAATCCTGTTGAAGAACGCGAAGAATGTTTATATATTGCACTAAATGATCAGCCGATACCTTTCACTGTTAATGAACGGAACTCCCTTGTGCAATACTGGACTCGAACCAACTCCAATATATTCGTTGGTAAACTTCTTCAGCTTAATCAGAATGAAAGGGCTACAAGAGCAATAATCACAGAGTTGCTGAGATGGGATGATGATATAGACATTCAGGTCCGACACGCTATTATGGGAGGGATACGGCATGTCTCTTCTTCATATCCATGCCGGCCGTTCTTAATGGCAGCTAGCACCTATTGTGAACACTCAAAGGATACGCATGGAATACAGTTAATAATAGCACACGTTTCAAGAACTGCATCTCTTCTAGAAAATTTGGAGGGTAGCCATTTTCTTCAATTTTTTAAAGAAATCCTGTCAATCGAATATTTTCAATCAGATATCTCGTCTGAGGAGCTGTACGAATTCATACTAGATCAGATACCTACTTGGGCTCCATGTATGCTCACCTTAGACGATGGTAATGTCAGGCAGCAAGCCGAAGAGTTAATTCACGAATATCTCATAGTGCCACTGGCACGAGAAGAAGAAAACAATACTCCCTCCGACTCAGAGTACCTTCTAAGCGACAAGAAGGCTGAAAAAATCAGGCTCTTAAGACAGCTATCTCAGAAATTGGCAATGAGCTGTCTTGAATATTTGGTGGATAATTATATTCGTCCACGTCAGACTGTGATTCGTGCAAATTTAGTTAACATTCAAGCTGTAATTGAAGCTTGCGAGAACATATTTGATCAGGATCCAAATATGTGTCTACAATACTATGAGCAGCGGATAGGTTAGAGTTATATTTCAATATTTCAAAATTACTAACAATAAAATAGTGACTATCGATGCACTTAAAAAGTTGGCAGTTGAAGAAATAGATGCAGAGGTATCAGGTAGGTTTATTCCCAAGATTCTATGGACCAGAAGCTTACGAAAATAGCAGATTGGAATAATTCCGATGGAGAGTATGATGGCTCATCAGAACCCATGGATAGTAATGCCGAAAATAGTGGTGGTTTGGTAGATGAGGACCAGCTTTGAAGCAAAAATCCTGCATTAATGATAATGGCTTTCATAAGAAGGTCCACGCACCTGGCGAGCTTTAAAAGTATTGTTAAAATGGGAACGTGGGTACTAGTATGGCGCAAACGGAGCGTTAAAATTGTTTTAGTTAGTAAATTCGCATTTAGTGGAGTTGTGGTAGATGGGCACTTAAAACCAGATCCTACTGATCCTAAAAATGAGGTTGGTATCGCTCAACTTGGGCTTGCAAATTTTTTAGTTGTAGCTGTGGGACCCATAGATATTCAAAATGCATGTCTGCAAAAGGTTAAGAAATATGAATAGAAGTCCTGGTTTAATTCTGCCACTAAGCGGACGGCTGTGACAATTTACACCTTTTTCCACCTTTATGGTCAATCTCTAACAAAAAAACAGTCATTTAAATAAAGTGAAATTGATAGAATGAATTTATCACGGGAGACATTGAGAATATGTGGCTGAGGCTAGACCCGGCAGTAGTACAGAAGTGCGGGAGAAAGGAAGACTACACTCATGAGAGTCCAAATGCCTTGCTCATCTTGCGTGGTGAAGGGCGAGAACAGGGGATACTATGCGTCATATGTGCGGAAAAATGGATTGCGAAAACACTTTTGTGAGGGAGAACCGTGATTTGCATTATACCCGTTCATAGGCGACAAAATATAGCATAGCTAGTATAGGCCGGATCTACTACAAATTATTAAAAAGACCAACACAAACCGTTTTATTGAGAACCAAGAGGGCGAAGGAAGCCTTTCTGGAATATTAAAATATAATCAAGTTTATATCAGCATATAAAGGAGATGAATTAGCCACACAAACTGTTGATATTGGAGAGTATTGAGGGGGACTGAAGGGCTTAACTTGTCATTTGTCAAATCACTAAGAATAAAATTGAATTGTCACAGCAAGATGGCTATTTAGAATATGATTTATATAGATCTCAAAAGTATTTAAATAAATTGCCTGAAAATTTTTACAGGAGCGTAAAGTCCACCAGCACTAGAACTGGGACATCGAATAGCTACCCTACTCATTGAAATACTTTTGTGGTAAAAAAGACTCTAAAATTTAGGCCGCTCAAAGCACTTACCATGAGAGAACAAATTATACAGCACACACTCGTTGCCGTTTATCATGGCACGGTTCTCAAAATAAACTATAAGCCAGCAAAGACGAATTCTTCACCTTCTAGTAGTGCCGGTGTATTCGCTCAGTTTGCTCTGCATATCTGGGATAGCCAAGAAGAATCGCATCCGAATCGAAATCCAAAGCAAACACATGCGTACCTCCATTTGAAGACTTCTCCATCATGCAGCACTCACTGCTATCTTCTGAGTCCTCAACTTCTTTCTGACCACGCATCATCTCGCCTCAACGACCAATAAAGAAGTTGCTCCAATTGAAAACATGAGTTTGCCTCATTCATTACTGGCCATCACCCACTTAAAATTTACAACGCTATGTATATCCGCAAGGCGGAAGTATTTTTATAACATACAAAGCTCGGGTCACGGTTTATGAGGGACTATTGCTCTAACGTGGTTATATATCTTGAGGAAGGACAGCCGGCTGAGATGTGGAGCGGAAGGGGGATGATGTCTCTGAAGACCATGCTAGGTCCGACAATTTTGAGGGGCTTTCAACTTTGGAACATTTGTGGGCGCCAAGACCAAGGTTTCGGCTAGTTGGTTAGGAGGACTTCTTTTGTCGATGAGTCAACGGCACTCCCCAGCGCCCTGGACGGCATAAAAGAAGTTGGGCTAAGCTACCATACAGCAATCACGCTCTGTCAAGACTTTTCTGACATTTCAGCCCGACCTTCGGGAAGGAGTTGGAAGGAGGCTAGAAATGCAGAGTGTGAATTTCCCAAGGTACCCACAAGTCTGCAGCGCCCAGCTGGCCGGCCTCTTTGAATACTTCAGAAGGGTCACTATATCTTCAGATTTAGTCCTAATGTCGGTATGAAGAGAGCTCCGCACCCAGTGGCTTTTGCGATTTTTCCCGGCTGCCATTCACCCGTAAATTGCCATCGTTTCGCTGGCTAGAGAGGGGATATAATGAAGGGCAAAGAGCTCCTCTAGGTGTATGATCGAATGAGGACTTGTGAGGGGTGGTACTGTTTGCGGGGAGCTGTGTGGGAGGAACAGGAGGGGATGTACTACTGGTATAGGTATCATTGGCCTATAGACAGAGAGGACCAGCACGTCCTATATAGTCATAGACTCAGATAGGACAAAAAAAACACTTACCCGTCCAGAAGACAATTCAGTCCGCCTGTAGTCAATTAAAGCTGCCCAAAAAAGGGAGAGAAGGTACACAAATTATTAACAGGAGGATATATTTTGCCCAACGGACGGAAATCTGCGGTGAACCCAAAACCAAGAGGTCACAGATGGAGACATGGAAGGTCGCAGCTCACCAAGAGCGGCCAAAATCCTAGGCCAACCAGCAGCGAACTCGGAAGCCTCGGCGATTACCAACTGCAGATCCCGAAGCTTGGAGAGCGACCAAATTTTACCAAAGTGGATGCGATTTTTCAATGTACTACTTGAGGCTTGAACTATCTAGCACATTGGGCTCCTCTCTGACCCAGACCACACCTTTTACGATATTCTCATCCTCTTCTGAAACTTGAAAGATCATTGATATACTGCCCGCGATGAAGAGCTATTCAGCTCAGTATTTATCCGTGCAATTCCGCAACCTTATTGACGGAACCTTCCGCCCAAGAAAATCGTCACAATGAAATCTGCGCGCGCTGGAGAAAGTCTCCAAAAACCTGTAGGCTAACTGTACAGGTGCGTATACACATCACCTTTCTTTGTAACTAAAGAGGCCAACTTGATCCAATCCACCACTGACAGGTGTTCAGAATAGTCCCCCTACCAAAGTGGAAAATCTGCACGGCATTGTTGGAAATGGAGACACAAATTGTCGTGGACGAGCGGGCCCTCCATTTCGTCTAGGTTCCCGACACGATCTTGTGTGTATTTAATAGGTTGGAATGGGTAATATGGTAGTGGTTCAGGCTACCCATTGGAGACATGAGCGGTTGTATGGCGTGGGTAGATGGAGGTTATCAGGGGGTTTCCATGCCTAGATGGCGCCACACTCGTTTATACTGTGGCTTAGGCTATAATTTTTTTGTTCATTAACGTGCTAGATACAATGATTCCCGTTGCACTCCCACTAGAACCTAAGCGCGGGTGGGGCCGGGCTGGATCAGGTTAACTACCGCGAAGTACAGATATGCCTCGTCGCACCTAAGTGACCGGACTGCCTTAGACTTCACCCATGTGTTGAACCATATCAAGGAGGGCAAGACTGAACACCTGTACGCGGTGTCCTTTACGAACCTGGGAGTGAAATATCCTCCCAGAGCCAAGTTCGGTCAAGTTTCGCAATATCAAAGAAGTTGGCCCACGAGGCAATGATTCAAATTACTCCTCCACGTCGTTTTTTCGCTACCTACGAGTTTGACTTCTACCTAAGTCTCATCAAGTCTGCCAGTACGAGCTAGTCCATCTTCATTCCAATGATCACACCACTCCTCGACCTTCCCTGGTCTCGGCTGACCACCATATACAAGTCCACGCCGATATTTATACCTGCAGGAGGAAGCAAAGCGTGGCGCACAAATCTGGGAGATAGTTCTTTGGGATGGACGTGAGAGGGATCAGGACAAGTTCACAAGATGATGCAAGGGAAGGATATAAACTCGACGGGCGTGAAATTCCGAATTTTGGCAAGAGTTTTACGAATTAGGCTTTGTCCCCGCCATGACTTCGCTTGCGAGAGTGCAGCTGACACTATAAACACAAGCCAACGATGGAAGGTGTTGTGGTCCACCTCCTGTTGGTGTTCTCTAGTATAGTTTGAGTAGCCTGGGCACCTACTCCACTTGGGAAGGAGACGCCTCAGATCACATATCGCACGGAGAAAGGTTGAAAGATGATGGAGGCATTTCTGGATAACTCAGGGTTTTTGAGACGTTCCCCTGGGTGGGTATTCACGGATGAGGGTTGACTTGGAGTGATGGAAAAGCCACCATAACTTCGCAGTGGTACTTGCAAATGAAATCCGAGGCATGAATGCTCTTCTCTTACGTTGAATCATATATTCTGTACTTTTCTTTGATATTTTGTTGTAGCTAGATAGCTGCATACGCAATTCAAGTCTGATACAAAAAAAAAGAACTATATCAGGTCTGACCGTCCAGAAACCCGCTATATAAATGCCGTGGCGCAAATTCCTCCTCAGCCTCGGCCACCACGCGCCCGAGCCCTTGACATCCTCATTGACTCCGAAATATAAATGCCGTCCAAGATCTCATCGTTGCTCTAGCTTGTACCTTCATATCGTACCATTGGGCTGTTACTACCATTGGAGATTTGTGTAATACCCTCAGTGTATCTTCACTTTTCTCCCTCCTTTGTACACTTCCCGTTTCCATCATGACTTTCCTCATTAGGGCTTGCGTAGGTAAGTGATCGGACGAGTATGGAGGTGGGTCTCAGGTGTAGAATCGACTGAGAAATGCTTCGTCGCAAATATAAAAGGAGTTTGAGAGATGTCGGATGTTCGAATACGATCCCCAGACAGACCTAAGCCCATTCGTGAATCGTATGTTGGTGGTGATGAGTTTTTAAATGACTTTGATACGGCAGTGAAATCTCTGGCGACTAAAATATCGAGTGCAACTCCTTCAGGACGAGAGTTCATCAAAACAACTTCATCCCACCCGTTTTCGTCACTGAATCTCGGCTCTGGGAGAATATTTCACTCCCAGGTTCGTAGAGGCCACCGCTGACAGGTGTTCAGTCTTGCCCTCCACACACTGGTACTTGTAGCGCCCACTTCCCACACCTTATGCTGTAATCCGAATATGGCACTCTTTTAGTCAACTTCTACTTTCGTTCCATGAATATGGCGCCCATTGCATTGCGCGATATTCCCCACAAGCATAAACTGAGTCAGCAAGACTAAATCACTTTTCCTACATCGTAACCTGGGGAGAGCCCAAAGTTATTTGGCAATGCAAATTCGTAGTGATCGCATGGGGCGCAACTCGTATTCAAATAGAAAAGTAGACAGAGTACTCAGTCCGGGTTGTCCATGTGACTTCCAACCACAGAAGGCTTAGCACATGATTATGTCCTGGCGCTGATGGTCTAGCGGGGATGTGGGGAATGACTCGAGATCATCCATGCGAAGCCATGATCAACAACCCTCACGACATCAGAAGAATTGCAGCGTGGATCCGAAATTATGGTTAGGTAGAGCCATTTCAGATGACAATGCAGTAGGAATGCTGCGGAGGGAGTGAAAGAGGACAAGCGATGCCTGGGGCCGATGGAGAGGATGTGGCTGGCCTACGTGAGTGGCACCATAATGTGTTTGCGCTTCCCCAAGAACATATGCGAAACCCCGAGACGACGAAGCGCGAGGCCTAGCGGACTATCAACCACCAAGCTCTCCTCCCGCGATAATATTGCAGCTCGTAGACACCTGCACGGGCCCACGGAGCGGCAAAACAGCAGAATGGAATCAAATTCCGCATGATTGAAAAAGAGTGGCGGGGGCGAGTGAGATACACTGCAGTGGATTGATTCCAGTCATGGAATAGAGAGCCTCCGCCGGCGCATAATTGCACCGAGTGGAGACCAATCTTAATAGCTCTCACGCCGAGCTCGGAGTGATTCGAGTGTCGCCCCAGTATTGCGCGTTTGAACGAAAGCAGGGCGGTAGAAGAGCTTGCAACTTTACCAAGTGACAAGAATCGCCGTCGATGCAGAAGACTCCCTCTCGCCAAGAACCTCAACGAAGACGTGCATCTGAATGCACCTGCTGCTAAACAGTCAGTCTCTTTCTCATGGGCCAACTCGAAGAGCACTATTTGATTTTTCAACTCATTCATCTTCTCTTCACATCATCCTGATGGGAAAGTGCAGTGTTACGCTATGCATGTCGGCCTCTCGGCTAGGGCCTAGATGACTTGGATATCAAGCCTGCTTGAGTTGAATGATCACTGGCTCACATTCGGCTTGACCCGATCATATCTTTGAGGATTCTCCTCCACATCTTAACCTTAGTTTACAATTTTACCCTTCTCCTGATGTTGCCATGACAACAGTACAGTTCTTGGCACTTGGTATTATGTTGATACTAGTTTATGGCCTATGGTATGATAAGCTAGCAGAAGCAAAGCGGGTATATGTACGATGGCTTAGTCTGTGGAAACAATTCTTCACGCTTAGTATTCTGTCACAACCACCACCTTCGGATCATCTCTGGTCACCTCTAGTATCGTTAGTTACCATTAATACCCACTCGAACCTTTAGACTCTTTAGATATTTATATTACCCATCTTTCAAACTTTTAGTTCCTCCAAGTTATCTCCAGTAGACCTTCAGTCATCTCTCGTAGTCCATACAACCTCTTCTAGTACTCTAATTACGCATTAGCTCAAACCCATATGCTCCAATCTGACAATATCTCTCACCCTGCTCACACATCGAGTGGCTATGGCATGCTTAGATTATCAAAGGTTTTGAATCTCAACTCGGATGGATGCTGTCGAGCACGTGTCTCTTGTATTTAAATAAATATGCTCCTATTCAGTATGGCGAGTGAAAGATGGAGATTAGCGTCTCTGAATCCGAAGGAAGTGTTTATTTTGTACACATGACACCAATGGCGCCTCGTCATCAGACAGTGGGTGCATGTCAAGTATCGAAGCAAAGTCTGGACCTCATATTTTCATCCGCTTCGTCCCATTTCTAAGATATCCCATCATCGCAAATCATGCACGTCAACATTTAGGAGTTTGGCTGCGTCACGCATACGAGTCTTGAGAGCCCTCCAGCTCTGATAGAGCGGCAATATTGGCAATTACCTTAGTTTGTCTGCACTTTTCTGGCGTCTTCATCGCTCGCTCTGCCAGATTTTGTACGCCGAAATTTTATTTGGGCGCTGCAGTTAATACGGTATATGTACAAGTCAAGGATAATTTGTGCTATTGAGCCAAGACACCGGTGAGCCAGGCTGCGTGAGCTGAGATGGCTTCGTAGCAGTGGCGTAAGATGCAGTGAAGACCACAGACTATGCCATTACCGCCATGCAAGACGTTGAGGGGCTCAATTCTCAGCACCTGTCGGTGGTTTCCTCTACAAGCCGAGATTGAGTGACAAAGTGCTCACTTCGATGAGGGTTCCCAATCGCTTTCGCCGCCTGCATCGCCTTCATCCCTGAGCACAGCCTTTGATCATGGAGAAGAGGCCATCCCATGAGTTTCCGGAGCGTAGCCAGCGCCCAAGACAGTGATGGTGGATTGGATAAAGTTGGCCTCTTTTGTTGCCAAGATGGGAGATGTAGATGGATATATAGACCTTTTCCGGCTGGGCTACCAATTCTCGAGTATTATTCCCGCGCGCGCAGATTCCACTGCTGGCTCTTGGGTTTTTTGGGTCGAAGGTTCCGTGGAAAAGGTGGCTCAACTGCATGGACAAATATTGAAGTGAATGGCTATTGATCACCGACAAGATATCAATGGTCTATTTTTTCGTACAAAAGATAATTGGAGCTCGGGACACGGTGTGGCATGGGCGAGAGAGGAGCCCGATTCGCTAGGTAATCTACGACTCAGTTAGTGCAGAAAACAATGCACAGGCGTACAGGACGTAAGGGCTTGTAGAGAACGAAGAGAGAGCTAGGCAACTCCCTTGTCGATGTTGGAGCGAGGTTAGAAGGGGCGTGTGCAGCAGAGTCTTTGAGATCTCTCGTCCAGTGGAGCGGTGGGGTAGAATGTGAGGCAGAAGATGATGAAACTAATCGGTAAATCCCACTTCGAATGTCAGTGTCGACATGAGACGGACTTTGCTACCCAGCGTCCACGGCAAATACAGGCCGGCCTATTGGCATGACATGGAAGCTGCGAATCGTAGTATTGATCGAGAAATGGATTACTCCATAAAATGTGAAGCACAGCCAGACTATGAAACTGGTGTAGTTAAATCATGATTTACCATTTTTTAATGTTATTTTCGTCCTTTCTCAGCCGATGGCTATGTGGGATATGCAGGTCATCTCTGCCTACAGACCAAGAATATGTGTGCTAGTAGTATATCCCCTCCTATGCCCCCCATACAGCTCCCCTCATGAATCCTCATTCCATCAAACATTGAAAGATGCCCTTTCCCTTCACCATCGACCCTCTCCAGCCAACGAAATGACGGCCAATTGCGGGTGCATAAATGCCGACAAAACTGCAAGAAACACTGAATTTTAGGCTCTCCTAGTACCGATATCATGACAATATCCGAAGACAGAGCGATCTTTCTGAGGCGTTCGAAGAGGCCGGCCAGCTGGGCGCTGCAGACTTGTGTGTACCTCAGGAGATTCACACTCTGACTTTCTAGCCTCTTTCCCGAGGGTCGTGGTGAAATGTCAGAAAAGTCTTGACAGAGCGTGATTGCTGTGTGGTAGTTTAGCCCAACTTTTTTTGTGCCGCTGACTCATCGATAAAAGAAATCCTCCTAACCAACTAGCCGAAGCCTTGGTCTCGACGCACACAATCGCTCCAAATTCGAAAACCCCTCGAAAGTGTCAGTCCCAGTATGGTCTTCAGAGACATCATCCCTCAAGTAGTTTTTCCCATTAGAGCAACAATCTCTCATACGCCAGGACCCAGGCTTTGTATATTTGTCGTGGGAGATGACTGGCAACTAATGGGGCAAGCTTTCTATTGCAATTCGAGCGAGCCCGTTGAGGCGAGATGATGTTCGCTTAGAACGTGACCGAGGGCTCAGACGAGTGTGGCAGGAACGGCACTCTGGAGAAGTCGTTGAATGAAGATGTCCTTGAGGTTACTTTCGACTCCCATTCGGTTGTGGTTCTTCATGGCTATCCCGGACATGCAGGGCTTACTAATCGATAACACTGGCACCACGGGGAAGTGAAGAATCCGTCTTTGCCGCCTAGGATTAAGTTTTTTAACGTGATTGCTGACTCATAAACTCTTAGACGCGTTTCTTAATATTCAAAGTGAGGTCTGGGAGGGGTGTTTCGGCGTTGTAGATGATGCAATCACCCTGTCTTGGCTAGATTGATCACTTGCCCTTCCCAATTTATTTTATGGATGAGATCCACCATGAACATCGAAATGTGACTACATCTCGACGGCTCGTAGAGACGTGGTTATTTATTTTCTCCGGTTGTCGCGCTCTTGACTGGGCAGTTACAATGTAATAATTATAGAGCTATCTATTATTTGTTTTTGCTAAGGGATCTTGAAGTGCAAAGTACATTTTGGATGCTCAATGTTGACTTTTATCACTAGGGAGTTTAATTGAGGACTTGGTTTGCACGTACGATGCTAACCGGTCAGATTTACAATCGATTTCATAACTGTGATTACTTTAAAACTTCGATCTTTATCAACCTCACTCCAACTTCGGTCCAGATATCCCAAAAATTTGCTACAAAGTACAAACTCCAAATCCCAGCTTTTCACCAAACTGTCCTCAATAAACAAACATGATCGTGATGTGCCTAATGGCGTGCACAAACAAGCGATCAAACTGCGCCATTCCCCTTCTTCCATGAGATTCAGCCCTACACATAAGTGTTCGTGGAATTGAGTTGGTGATTTTATCGTAAGCAATGCAATTTCCTTCATTAAAAGTTCGAATTTTTCGAGAAACCTAGGGATCGATGTTTATTCATCTTTCCCTGTAATATTATGGTATATGAATAACAGGGAGTAGGTCATCATGCCTTTAGCTTATGCCGATGTTCGTGTTGGAGGACCATAGAGCACCAGCTTCGTGTGTTGACATCGGCTTCTCGTCCCATACAGCCATCTAGAGCCTTCATCCACCCTTCTTTGTCCACTGAAGTGTCGGCATAGAAGTCAATTACCTCGCCATTATTGAAGCGAATACGAAAGCCTTCTTCGACAAACATGTAACCTTCCTCTTCCTCAGCGAATCCAGATTTTCGCCGCTTACCACCACGGCCAATCGTCTCTTTTTGGGTGAGGATTGTCCGATCATCTATAAGCTTGCAAGCATTGGCTAAATTAATTGTTGCACGTGGCTGACGAGTTGTTTCATGATATGCAGTTAATTTACTTCCGCAGAGCTTAAAATAACGACGTCGCCAATACTAGAATTTGTTACTTCATTAACGTCCATGACGGGGGTAGTTAATTACTTACGGGACAGTCACCTCCTTGTTGGCTTAGATGGCCTTCCCAATTTCGAGTGAGCATCATTTCAACTTCTTTCATTTCTCTGATGCATGAATTCATGCTTTTTGGCATATCATCATCAGTTGCATCCCTTGGCTTTGGGACAAAGAGTAGTTGTAGTTCCAATTTTGCAACCTTGTATGGGGCTCTGCGCTGGACAATTGTAGAGCTGCGCTTACTCATGATACTTGACGACTGTTGCAGTTGTTCCGTTGCCCATTCATTGAAGCATGGAACCTCTACAGTTAGAGGACGACCGAAGCATTGAGACTCGTGGTCCTTAAGACAGACATAAGACCTTCCGAAGCTGCCATCTTCGGCAGCGAGGGGCGAAAGAAGATCCCATGCCGTTGGCTGGTAGGAAGCTTTTTTTGCACGTATTTCTTTTTCCTTCATCTTTGCGTACATTTTTTCTTCCTCTCGTTGTCGGGCCTCGAGCTCTTTACGTTTCTTGGGAGAGGAGAAGACTCGGCTAAATGTCGACGGCTTGTGTGCCTTGAAGGCTTTGGTCGGTGGTTCAGTGTCTTTTGCCTTGACAGGCTTGACAAGCTTCGCATTTAAGGTGAGCTGGAATTCCAAGTCATTAGGGACTACAAGTTCGAATTCCTGGCCTATAGGTGCGTTTTTCCCAAGTTCAAGTAGGGCTGTTGTGACACAGTGTACACCATTGTCGAGAGTCAAACTGAACCATGTCTTTTCACCTAAGTTCGAAGATTAGAGTTAATTATGCGCTGCAAGAGTTCAATCTTACTTGGTGGGAGAGGTAAATTGAGATCTTTTACGCCGAGTACCCTGACGAAAAGTCTTCCTCTTTCGTGTTCTTCATCAACGTGCTCCTCTTCTAAATCCTTTCCTAAGTCTTTCTGTGATCCGTTGGCGTTTACCTCGGTGTCAGGAGCAACAGGTGCTTGGCATGACGGTTGCTGTCTTCCGGATTGAGGTTTGGACTGAGCACTGCTCTTACGCATTTTACCAATCCAAGGCTCAACTGTCCATGATTGGGGAGCTTCTGGCTTAATTGGCGAGTTATTGGTAGAGTGGGGCCTAGGATGAGGGCTGTTTCTGTTATCACTCGTAGCGACGACTATCTTGGTGTTTTGTCTCATCAAATATCCACGCTACGGGAAAGCACTTAAGTCAGCGGAATATTTTGGTTGAAGAGCTGGAGGTCAATATTGTCAAGGATAGTAGGCAACTTTGTGAAGGGCTTTGAGATACTACGAACCTTTTGGGCTTCGACGACACGGTTCAAGTTATTATCAAGATCCGTGGCAATATCGTTGCCGATATCTAACGTCAGGGATCTCTTATAACTTGGCTTACGATCAGAGAACCTTTCCGCTTTTTGAGCGAAGCCACGGTCGAGACTCATTGGTCGGTCTCGGTGCCTGTTCGGAATGGGTGGAACAAACGGTACGTCGGACCCTAAGTTATTTCGTGAGTTAAGCATGGCTTCAATCTCAACAGAAGTTGCAGAAGGCCTAGTTTTGAGCTTATTCGACCCCGACGCAGACTTGATTGTCGCTACTTGTTCCGGGATACTGGGAGACTCGCACGGTGATATGCTATGAACGGGGTGATGAATAACTGATTCTGGTGTCCCCATTATAAATTCGTCCTCGGAATCAGTATCAGATAAGTTTGGATTTAATGGACTAATTTGCTCTTGAGGAGTCTCCGACCGTGCATAGTGACCATCTTTATCGTCATTATGCTCTGGGTCATTAATAAGCTGGTTATCGGACTCGGGGCTGTCGGGGAAGGAGTGTGATCGACATGCTCGCATGTTGTCGTAAGTACTGGAGCTCTTCGGATCGGGGGAAAGACTGAATCCTTCTTCTTCTGCGTCATTGGAAGGTTTAAACCTTAGTGAAGGACTAACCGGAGGTGTAGTCAGCTGGTTGCTGAATCTGAATCTCGAGGAATCGGCGGGAGACTGGTTGATGGGCGTTGGCTCGGAATATTGGCTTTCAGAGAGCTCTGCTCCATGAATAGACTCCTCCTCGTTGTCTTGAATAGATGTAATTCCATCGAGGATTTCCGGCATATCAAATATGCTTAGTTCGCTTTCTTCATCATGTTCTTGTTTGATGATAACACTTTCACCTTCACAGTCTTCATCTAGGTAATCGTCAACTTCGGTTGATGGGATAGGTATGTCTGGGTCAGTGAAAGAGTAGTCGGGACATGAGGTTGGAGCCTTCGTTTGGGTATGAAGTTGCGGTGAAATATCTCTGTGAGACCGATCCTCGTTGTTATATAGGTGTGATTCCTGGAAATTTGCCGTTTGAAGTTGTTCGCGGACTGGATCGGAGCACTGATGGAGGATGTTCAGATCTTCATGAACCTTTGTGGATTGAACTTCGCGCTCAGGTGTGTGACTACTCCTATCTTTTGTACCAGCTCTTCTCATTCTTCTATCCCGTTGAGTCACAGCGTCGTTTCTGTGACTCTCTGCACCAGGATTGGCAATGTATCTCAATTTCTCGTCCAATGAGACCTTTCCTCGGTCTAGCATAGGGTGATCGTTTAGATTGAAAAGTTGAGACGCGTTATAACCCAAGCTCTTTGGAGATGAGTCCACGGATTCGTTCTGTGCAGATAATCTAGGTGATCCTGGACTACCATACCTTTTCGATGGAGAGGCTCCCGGAATTGGCGGTAAGGGTCGCTTTTCAGTGTTCGGGCGTGTTAGGTTGTTCCATTCCATTGACGGTCTGAATTTGGAAGACCGGCGAGATTCAGGCCTGGAAATTTCGTCGATGGTCGTACATGTATCTTTATTCTTTTCACTCGGAGAATTCTCATCCTGTTGTTCTGTGGTGGGACAAGGCCAATCATCTGGCTCCATGACTGGGGTCTTCTCGATATCCTCGAGTGAGGCGTCGAAGCTATTGTCTTGCTCTATAGAGTCTGAATCGTGGAAGCCATCATCCCCATCTTCATCATATATTTGAAATTCTTGATTTTTATCGTAATCACTGTCAGCCGAATCGAAACTATTCTCCCTTGATTCAGTACCGATGGATGAAATGTCAGGCGTGGTAGCTTCAAACTCTTGTACTTGAGGAGGTGCTTCATCAAAGGTAACACTCTTGGCGTGGCGATGCAGCTTGTGACCTGGTGGAATATCCACTCTTTCTAAGGATATATCTTCTGAGATATTTCCGAACTCAGATTCCGCACTCATCTTATAGCGAGCTGTGGCGAGAGATGATTTTGTTGGCGATGGTTGGTTCATGCTCACAATATTTTGTGGCATTCCGCTTGTAGTCTTGGCTGGTGATCTAGAGATGGTAGAGCTAGGACTATGACCAGGATTGCTTATGACACTATCACGGCGGTGTCTCGGAGAATTGAAGCAACCTGAGTTACGAAACCCTTCTATACGGAACCCTCCATGTGCGTTACCGTGCAGGGACTTGATCAGAGGTCTTTCTACAACAGGTATTGATGTGGGATCGTACTCTTGTTTCTGCTCTCGGGCAAACATGGTGCTGTTTTTGACACGAGACGCACGCTGAAGCTTCTCGATGGATGTTCTTCGTGTGGGAGATGGTGAGCTTTCTCTACCAGCAAAAAAGTTTTCGGTGTGGTAGCGGCTAGGAGATGCAGAATCACGAACTTGCCAGAAAAGTCTTGGTGAGGAATTTCCATCAGCAGAAGCGGCAAATGGTGAAGATTGAAACGGAGATGAATCTGGATGGTGTTGATTATTCTAGTGGTCGGTTATTAGTCAATTTAACGTCCAATGAGGACCTAATATGGCGGTAAATACCTTGGAAAAAGGAGAAATATTGGGTGAGTTTCGTTTGGGTGAGCTGGGAGATAGCTCGAGTAGAGCTCTAGATAATGATGGATCCATGGCAGTGACGAGCTAGGGACCTTTGTACTGCTGTTGTCAGTAAGTATCTCAGATTTATTCGGTTGTATTTCTAGGTGGAGGGAAATTTAATTTTTAGTTTATTAGGAAATTGTTTACCAGTTGTAACGAACGATCAGAAGTGAATGAATCCTATCTCCCGGGCGAAGGTGATATTGCAAAGGAACGATTCCTGTTGATTACCAACGGTCAACGCCAGCTAGATGAAGATAGAATATTAAGAGAGTTTAGAATAGTGTTCTCGAGGAAGAGCAGTTACGGCAACATGAATGCTGAAATTAAAACATGAGCTGTGGACGACGTTTTGAAATTGTATATGCTTCTCAAGCAAACCAGTCTTTTTGCTGTAAAAGCGCTTGAATGTAAGGGTGTAATGAGGCAGAGCTGGGGCGCCGGGCATAGAGTCGCGTAGCAAAAGGTTATTTATCTGCTTGACCTGTTTAGCTGCGTTGCCATCATAACAACCGAAGACTGAGGCAGGGGTAAGCATGTATGGGGCTAACCGAGGTCGTCCGCATGAGGGCTCATGTCTTCGATTCTCTTTCAACAAAGGAGCAATTTGAGCGGATGGCACTGCAGTATACCAAGTTGGGGATTACCTAAGTTAGTTGTGGATAGCCTGGTCACTGCAAGTTTTTGAGAAGAGAGAGAAGTGGTACATGACCTGCTCGGTCCGATTCAAATGGCCCGACAAATCGGCAAAACTCAGTGCGAATATATTTCTGCGATCAACTGCCATTAGCCAGTCTATCCTCGCCCTCTATTCTAGGACTCGAAGGTTTCTGATATGTAGGTCCAGAGAGATGCTATAACTTTAAACTCTATTGATGGAGTCGGGATTCGCTTCTGCTGGTCTTGTCCTTGGATTGCAGAAGATGACCATAATCACCATTGACCTTGGACAAACAGTTGATTTTGAAAGTGTGCACAACTTGGGTCAAATCGATTCGAAGACTCGATTAATGGCCGGCTGCAACGGTTGGCCCCATCTTTCCATATCTGTAATTAACTTTTAAATTCCCAGTACCTGAGGATTATCCTACACGCCAAGATGACATTCAGTGACAACCATTTCCTACCGATGAGCCCATTTTATCAGTAGGTGATACACCCAGGGATGACGAAGAATACGTTAGGCTAGAGATCTTTGTATGTCATGCATATCGAACTACGCGAACAGATGAATCATTTCTGATATCAGGTCTATATTTAGGCCATTCTTGCGGTGAGTTTCCAGGTCAACGGTTTTGTTGCGGTCACGTGATACTACTCCGCAGATGTATGGTTCAGTGCGGGGAAGGGCACAGCTGATTGGCTAGAAGAGCTAAAAATGAATGATCAGTGGGTCTTTGCGTAACGAGTGAAGACGTTCAAGGATCATGGTAGAAATCTCCCGTTCTAAAGTTGGAACGGCTTCCTGATTAATTCCTTGCCGTCATGAGCCAGCTACTTTACACTCGCATACCCACAACAGCTTGCAGGATGCTTGGTTGCTGGACCTTTGACGCCTCCGAGATAGACATCCATTTCCCGGCGAAAGGTAATCCCCCGACCTAAACATGGTACGGATTATGCACGTTGTACATTATTCACACAGCCCAAACGCCAGCTATGTACACGTTCAGACGAAGAATACTACACTTTATAGCTGAACGGCAAGATAGGGTGAAGTGGATATGAGCTCAATAGCGACAAGTGTGTTCTCACACAATCTTAAAAGCAAAATATGCAAATAGAGCTGGAGGTTAGTCATACAAAAGGGTTAGACGATAATTTAAAAATGAATTGTCGGTCTCCAAGGGATTGTGCTGAAAAAATTGGTGGAAAACTTTGTAAGTCTCACTGTTGTATGGGGCTCTGAGTGAAGCTTGCCTCCCCCAACTTACGGTTCAGAAAGACTTGAATCTGTCTAGGCTCGTACGTCCACGACCATGTTGCCTATTCTGCATTTTCCGTGACGGATCTCTTGGGAAAGACCAGACTTACGATCCACCTCCTGGATGGCCTCATTATCTACCGATATACGTTCTGATTATAAATCCTACGCGATAAGGCGTTCTGAATAGCGGGAGCAAGGCTGAGGAATCATGCGAACTTGCTAACACGGGCTGGTTGACATGATCAAAGAAGCGGCCCTTCAGAAAGCGGAGGTTGTGCAGGCTCGAATTACCCAATAAATACCCAATAAATACCCTAAGATCTGTTATCATTTCTAGACATGTCCTCCTATATATGTATCGTAAATATTGACCTTAGTAGTCTGTACAGCAAGCATACCAAAAAGCTATAGTAGATTACCAGCAGTACAGTTTTCTTACCAAGTCTTTATTTCAGTGATTACGCACAATTTTTCTATAATGGTATCCAGCACATGTTGGGGCAGAAGGTAACGAGATGGCTCAAAATCTTGCCAGAAAAGGCCGAGACCAATGGACAATGAAGAGAGACTAGCGTATCTCTCATTTTCTTATGAAGCTGGATGCTTGGAGCGAGTGCCGGAATAAAAATTCTTGCATGAGGAGGAAGGTCGAAAAGCTAGAGGCAGCGGAGAGATGTTGAGCGGCACAGAGCCAAAGTCACTTCCAATTCCTTTTCGAACAAGGAGAGGACAGAAAGCATTACTTGAATACTTGGAAATTTCTGGGTGCATGGAAACAAAGGACATTTACTAGTGCCTGTTGAATTATCTTGTCAAATGATTGATTAGACATGATGTGTATTGATCTGTTCTAAAGTCTACAGAATTTGATGTCTATATGAACCCATTTGTTCCTGGCCCATCTTGATGACATCAAGATTATCTAGGCTCCAGCCGGAAAAGACGAGCTCTTCACCTTTCAGTGGTGTAGGTGTCATTGCTCAGTATGCCTGGCATAGCCGAGATAGCAAAGTGGAATCACAACCGAGTGGAAGTTTAAAGTAACCTCAAGCACATCTTCATTTGACGACTTCCCCATAATGCTGCTTTTGTCATTCTCATTCCCTTTCTAACCACGCATCATCTCGCCTCAACGACCAATAAAGAAGTTGCTCCAATTGAAAACATGAGTTTGCCTCATTCATTACTGGCCATCACCCACTTAAAATTTACAACGCTATGTATATCCGCAAGGCGGAAGTATTTTTATAACATACAAAGCTCGGGTCACGGTTTATGAGGGACTATTGCTCTAACGTGGTTATATATCTTGAGGAAGGACAGCCGGCTGAGATGTGGAGCGGAAGGGGGATGATGTCTCTGAAGACCATGCTAGGTCCGACAATTTTGAGGGGCTTTCAACTTTGGAACATTTGTGGGCGCCAAGACCAAGGTTTCGGCTAGTTGGTTAGGAGGACTTCTTTTGTCGATGAGTCAACGGCACTCCCCAGCGCCCTGGACGGCATAAAAGAAGTTGGGCTAAGCTACCATACAGCAATCACGCTCTGTCAAGACTTTTCTGACATTTCAGCCCGACCTTCGGGAAGGAGTTGGAAGGAGGCTAGAAATGCAGAGTGTGAATTTCCCAAGGTACCCACAAGTCTGCAGCGCCCAGCTGGCCGGCCTCTTTGAATACTTCAGAAGGGTCACTATATCTTCAGATTTAGTCCTAATGTCGGTATGAAGAGAGCTCCGCACCCAGTGGCTTTTGCGATTTTTCCCGGCTGCCATTCACCCGCAAATTGCCATCGTTTCGCTGGCTAGAGAGGGGAGATAATGAAGGGCAAAGAGCTCCTCTAGGTGTATGATCGAATGAGGACTTGTGAGGGATGGTACTGTTTGAGGGGAGCTGTGTGGGAGGAACAGGAGGGGATGTACTACTGGTATAGGTATCATTGGCCTATAGACAGAGAGGACCCGCACGTCCTATATAGTCATAGACTCAGATAGGACAATAAGTTGAATTAAAAAAAATCATGACCTGGAAAACCAAATTGTTGCCACGAAGAAGAATACTAGTGACATGTAACACTAGGATCGAGAAAGATAGAGACATTAAGAGAGTATTGAAGAGAATGGGGGTAGCGTGGTGGCTAAAAATAAGGAGACTTTCGTGATGAGTCGCGTAAAAAATGGAATTGGCAGTGTCGCGCTCTGTATACGTGTCAAGGAGTGTATAATATTTGAAAGTTGTGGAATTTTCTGTAGATTTGCGGATTTCAGGAAGGCGTTAGGATCCTGACAGGCATCTGGCTTGATACCATTAGCGATGCGTTTGGAATAGAGATATATGAAGAGATACAAGGATTTTTGTATTTATGTATATCGAGATATCAGTTGACTTATTTTATTCACCGACTTCGTGACGATACCCAAATTGCATTGGTACGTATTCTACCAACAATTATAAGCCCCAACATGAACGGTTGTGGCACCTTCTAGTTATGGAAATCCCTCAACTCCTTCTGCTTATGCCATACAGCCTCTCGGCTATTCTTATTTTTTTTTTAAATCATTTAATGTGTATTCAGCTATAAAGCTATGACAGATGACTGTTGCTATGTATACATGTTGGATGACTCTTTTGACGTTAGAGACACTGATACTCTGGATTTAATTTGCAAATACCACTATGAGGTATGCTTGCTTACACAAGCAGTCGACAATCCTCCGTAAGTACCCCCAAAGGGAATTTCAAACCCTTTGATTATCCAAGCATGCCTTCGTCATCCATGCATACCAGTGAGGTTCCCGATAGATTAGTATGTGTAAAAAGTGAGATAAGCTTAGCTTTAAGATGGCGTAGGTTACGGGTGTCTCGTGGCTCCAATCTACAAATATGTATAGTAGAGCTTAAGACTAGATGTAACTTGGTTTTCTACTTATACAGGGTATCGTCTATAAAAGTACAGTATTCCTAATCTTGCGCCCGGACTCAAACATGAACAACATTACATAAGCAATACAATTTATTAGAGCCTCGTACTAATCTAGAGGTCTGTCAATGTTGGAACCTCACCAGCTCCACGAGAAATGTGGTTGTGTTTTGCCGGATTTGAACCAG